TTTTAAATCTGTGTGTGTGTCGTCGTTAAAATTAAGACTGATAAACGTCGAATTGAATTCCACACTCTCTGAGGGATCGACTTGGACTCTTTAGGTCCACTTTTACTACTTGTTCTCGACCCGTGCGCTTGCGGCATAGAATCGAAACCCGAACACCCATCTTAGTTTCCCTACTTCGACTATAATTTCCAAAGAGATGATCACTTCCTTATGGGTTACCACTGCTATTTTGGGCTGGAGTTCCATATCCTTCCACTTGTTTATATTTACGATCCCTTTTACTGCTACTCATCCTAGCCAACATTGACATGATATTTTCATATTTACTGTTAATTTCCCCCATCAATTGTTCCATCATGTCCTGCTTAGTAAGACCACCCTCAACATTTGATCAAACGATTTAAAGGCCACACCCAAATCTGATATTTCCTTGTCTAATCTCATAAGATACTCCTCATTTGATTTACTTCTAGTTTTAGTTAGATCCAAATCACGTTCCTGCTTTGATACCAAAATGTTGTGGTTGAGCTTTAATCTCAACCCAAATCCAACTATTCAGCAACAAGAATCAGAATTGAAAATGAAATTCAGTATCCAGTATATTAATTGCAATAACAAAGTTCAATTACAGCAATTAATAGGAAATAAAAGAAGAACAAAGGTTCGGAGATAGAGAATCAGAGAAAGGGAATTTTTCACAATGATCATTCACTGCCATTTCTCCTTTGTCGGGTGGTTATAACAGAAAGCAAAGGCCTTTCTCTTTCTATATACACACATAATTATATACAGCCAATTCTCATTCTTATTTTCCCCAAATTCTATGTTGTACATTCTTTTGATTACAAAATGAAACTTAAGCATCCGCCCAATTCTGCTTCCCAAACTCTAACCTCCTCTGTTACACGTTTGCTTGTCCTTGAGACGCTACGCATCAGCACCAACCTTGCATCAGCACCTCCGTCGTCGGCCGTGCCTGAGCGGCCATTGATTCAGGATTCCAACTA